AGAGATTCACAAGGTAGTTGTTTTAAAGACCTTTAGAACAATAATACCACTGAAATAACATTTATTGTAATAAAGATGGTGCCAAATGCGGTTAACTGTTCAGTGCACCTAAAGTTGAAGATAAGAAAGGGTCACCAAATTATCTTCTAACTTGCTGAATACAGTATGCTAAAAACATGGGGTATGTTGTATGACTCAATAGAACAAAGAGCACACAGGCTGTTTAAAGCCATTTGCATTCTTCCTCTTTTTATTGTTCTGTTTTCTTTAATTTCTATATCTTTGCCAGATTCTGATGTGAAAACATTTGGCACCAAGAAGAGTGTATCCGAGGGGGAAAAAAATCCTGAAAAGTGGATCAAAAAGTAAATGAAAAATAATGTCATATTACTGAAAATATGAGAGGCTAATTTGTGCCGACTTTTTGCTAATTTTGTTCCAGCCACAGAAAGAAGAGCTGTCACCTGCTCTGTGCAGCGGCGATGACAGTGCCAGTGATCCATGAAATAAGCTGCCGCTGGCTTTGTTCTGATAAGAATGAACAAATCTGCACAATGTACTGCTCTCGGAATCTCATTTTCATACTTGCATGCAGGCTAAAAGAAATAAGCTGTTTGCAGGCTTGATTAATCAGACATTTGAGGGGTTTTTGTCTCTTTGATCTGTTCCGTCTCCTAGGTAACTTGGTTGACATTAATGTCGAGCTTCAGTAAAGACAATCAGGAACTGTAGACTGAACTGATAAAAAAATTAAAGACCTTTAACGCTTTAAATATAGTTACAGTTCTGCTCTGTATTTTTAAAAGGTTTTTATTTTGTTTTTGGAAAAAAATTTGAGGACAGAACGGTTTAAAGACCTTAGCATAAGAAATCTCCCCACATGGAAAGCAGGTTAATTTGGGTAATCCCTGTGTAGAACAATAAAAATCTCTGGGTGTAAACCTCAAAAGAAGTCATTTAGCATCCCCTAAATTGATCTTGACTCAGAATAATGCTTTTTATGTAATGATTTGGGTTTTTGCAAGAAATAAAGGAGAGCTTTGCAGAGATCGCAGACAATTTAATAAACCTCGGATTTACTCTCTGTTGATGTTATTGCCAAGTGAGCTTTTAGCACCTACACCAGTTTACATGGTTCTTGCAGCCCTAGAAAATTATCTTTCAGCAATCTACACTTAACATGAGTATGATCAGCCATTATAACTTACCCTTTTTTAAACATTTTACTAGAAAACATGATTTACGGGTTTAAAACCTATAAAAAATTGTGAGGAATTAAAAAACTGTCACAGTGTGTTAGCTTCAGGTTATGCAGACGCTTTTACAAATCTTCCAAGTGACTGTATAGATGAATGCCTCAAGGGCCCAGCCGGAGCCCAGCTCTTGCAGCCAGCTAAAGCCCTTATCTTAAATCCAAGCAAAGTACCATTAATCTTTTTGAAAGACCTTTATGGCTTTTAATGTATCCCAAATTAGAACATTTTACACCCTTGGTTCCTGAAATATGGTGATAAAAAGCCTTTAGAGTTTAATTTTTCCTGACTGCTCGCTCTGACCTCCTTAATCCCAGCATGCATTATAAGATATTTTAGTTTCAGTCTTTCTAATAAAGTTTATCCCAGTTAATTATAATTGAAACATTTTTTTTTCTCCAGGTTTTTTCAACTAGAGAAATAGTGACACATTTCTTCATTACTCAAAGATTTTTTCTCTCTGTGTACTTTAATTCATTCTGTTTTTGATTATTATTCTGTATTACAAAAAGGTTGTAGTCATTTGTTCAAAGTATAAAATTATCTCAGTAGTATCCTGGAAAGCTGGATTCAGTTTTTATCTAGAACATTTATAGCTAGTCATAACTGGGGTTCCTGATTTATCTTAATGGAATTGCTGTAGTTTAGGAATTCAGAAGATGTATTACTCGATATTGTAATGATTAACATCCCCAAAGTCCATTATATATAGAAGATATATTTTATATAATCTAGTTTACTGGGTTGTTAATCTCAGTTTGAGTAATTTTGTGTGCCTCTTGAAGCCCTGAAACAATATAGACATTTCTCAATCACACTACCTTTACTGCTTTTCTTGCACAAAGTCTTGGAAGTTACTTTGAAATTGTGCACTCAGATGTCCAGCTGTTTGTGTGGAAAACAACAAAGAGAATGTAGCATAGGTGATGTTCCAAATTTCTTATAAGTGAAAAGGGTATGATGTGAACAGACTATTCAGCTCATTAATTTATTATTTTAGACTTCTGCCTCCCTGTTTATAGGTTACTATATGGTGTATCAATGTCTACAGTACATCAATGCACACAGGCACTGCAGGTTGATTGCCTGCACGTTGCACGTCGATTGACTAGTCACTTTGAATGCTGGTAAATTTATCATGATGTCTTGGCTATTAAACCCAAGAATACCAACTTAAGCAAACAGACTTAATTTTTAGAATTATTAGGAAAAAAAATCTTTAACAGCTGTGAAGTCAGTTCTTTTCTAATTCAGTTTACAATAGTAAGAATATATTGCTTTCAAGACCAAATCAACAAACACTGAAGGAAATCAAGTCATCACGTTTCTGCCTTGGCCTGGCCTGCAACAGACATAAACATCATTGAGAATGCTTGATCATTGCACTGAAACAATGTTTTCTTACACCCTCATCTTGGGACTCACTCAGATGGATTTTGTCGATACTACTGTTTGTTTGTTTTCTTTTTATAACTTTATAACAGAATATTTTACCACAGTGTGTGTGCTAGCTGCAGATGCAGTATTAGGGAAAATCACCTCTAAATTACAATGAACTAGTTGCTTAAAAACATGATATAACAAGAAATGTTCTCTCACAAATTTAACTCTTCACTTTGAGATTAGACCAACTCCGAACACAGAAAAGTTGATGTCCAAACCAAATAACCTGTGCCTGTACATTCTTACGTACATTTAGGCATGCTCTCTGACATATAGAGCCTCATAATCTCAGGGTCATTTTAGTTAGATAAAACAAATGAAAACACCCTTTGCCTTGTGGGAAGTGTAGTTCCTACAGCCACTGTGGCAAATGCAAGAACATGCATTTTCTCAATTGAAAATTACAAAGGCTGTAACATAAAAGTGTCCCCGTTTTCCCTCCCTCCATGTTCTCTCCTAATTGTTGGATGTAAAACATCACTTTTTTGTTGGAAGTATTCTTTATGTGGTGCATTGAAAATGAATTGGGATGATGCAGATTGAAAAGTCTTTCAAAAAGAATAAGAACCTAGAGTAGCTGTATGACATATCTTGTTTGTGCCATTTCTAAATAACGTAAAGTACAGACATCTTCACATTCGAGTTAAAGAGGCTTTTTGTGCCCCTGCCATTTTCAATTATAGAGTCAGAATTGTTCCCCAGAATCAACACACTTGTGTTCTTATCTCAGAAAGCATGGTGGGTATTTGGAAACGTTTGTCTAGTCACATGGCACAGAACAAGGTTTTACTTCCAGGCTCAAAATAGCACACAAAAATGGATGTGCAGTCCTTAGAGAATAATTGTATTAATCTAACAAATTTAGCAAACATTTTTAAAAGTTAATTGTCTGAAGCTTATATGTATAATTTTTATTATATATTTAGGTAATGTATGTTTTCACTACTGATTATTATAATTATAATAACGTCATTATACTGAAATTTTGATAAATTGCATATCATGCATGTTATGTTTAAAGAGAGTACAATCTCTCAGTTAAAGAAATGTTAGGTATAGGAAATATCCTTTCCTGGAGAAGGACATGACAGGTGTCTGCCGACAAACTATCACAAAGGTCGCAAAGCTGTAATCCTGGGCTACTCAACATGTAGCCCTTCCAGTCCACTCCATTGCAGAATTTTGCTACAGCCAGCTCTTCAGTTTTTGAATTGGTAATTAACATGATCAGTTAGCAAAGTGCTGGCTGAATGAATGAGTTGCAGTAGAGGAAGCTGAATAGCCCTGTCATTGTCTATAACACTGTAGGCTTTTTTTTATATAAAGATAACATATTACTTCACCAGGTAAGTCAGATGTAAACAAATTATTTACAATGGAACACATTAAAGTTTATATCGTGCTGAAAAAAGAAAAGAAACACAATGTTTCGGCTGTGGAGCTTTTTTCTGGTCTTCAGGCTTCAGGCTTCACAGCCGAAACATTGTGTCTTTTTTCTCCATGGAATAAACCTTTACTTGTTCATGTGCAGCCTACACATACTGAAGCTGCTACCAGCTTGAAATTACTATTTACAATGACATGAGGAAGAGTACATTTTTATACAGCATGGTGTCTTACTAGAGCAAAATGGGTGATGTATCTTGCTCAGGGGTACAGTAACCGTGCATCAGCTGACGTGTACCTTCAAACCTCTATTTAGCAGCAGAAAATATAAACCTAAGTAGTTGTGGCTGCCAAGAAACTTTAAAAAAATTACAAAAAGATATTTAAATGTATTAAAGATGTGTTTTTCTGTATATTTTGTAATTCTATGGACTAGGAGTGAGAGTAAGGGTGATAATCAAATATCCAATTGATAGCATTATTAATGACTTACAGTATTAAAGACTCCATGTATTATCACATATAAACCAGATTTGGTCTATATACAGTACTTATATTAATCTAAACGCACAAATTTAAAAGATGGAACAACTACTTATGCTCATTCCTTGTTTACTGATGAGGAATTGGATAACTATTACTTTCCCTTGTTGTTTCTTGTATATATTGTCTGTCCATATTTGTCTGTATAGTGTGAATATCATTTGTGAATTTTATGCACATTTAAAACTGTAGTGTGAAAGTACTTGAAATGGAGTAAAGAAACAAGTTTTCATCATATTCTGAAACACCTTTTCCTGATTTCCTGAAGCCCGTTTTAAGCGGCCAAACCTAGATACTCATGCACAGAATTGCAGGTTATACACCAGGCTTGAGGCTGTACATTTGATGACGTAACATGTTGCTCTCTTTGTATAGACGGCTGTGAAAATTGCAAAATCTGCAGATTGCCGTGACTTTGTGAAAGCCAAACAGGAAGCTGAAGCATCAAGGGAGGCCCAGAAAAGAAAGAAACAAGTTGCTTGGGGGTTCGTCATTTTCTTCCTATTAACTTTTATAGTTGTGAGTTAAATCTGAGGAAGATTCGCATACCACATTTATTACTGTCATTACTGTAATAACTGGTTCCAACTTGCATTCCCACACATATTCCTACTCCTACTGGCAATTACCTAAGCCTTTATGAAAGAAATTATACTATGTTTCTAGAGAGAAAAAAAATACATTTTCTGTTTTTTTTTTGCACATTTCATTCTTAACATATTTTATCAAAGGTGAACACAAAAAATTATTTTTTTTATAGATATTACTATCTATTTTTGTAATTAAAAAAAGTAAAAAGGAAACAGACAAGTTTCCTTTTAGTATTTTGATAGTACTAGTACTTAATGTCTGTAAATGTTAGATAAAATTTAAAGAAAAAAATAATGATTGTGTCAAAGCAGACCAGTAATTTCAGAGATTTTAGATGCGAGCACAGGAAACTGGATGCTACAAAGATGCAAAATATATTACTAAACTGCACATGCTGATAGAAACTCTGATACCTGCCAAAGCAGAATCAATTGTGAAAATATTGAAGCAGGCATCCACTATTAAACTTATGTACCTTAAGTACCTTCATCTAGTTTGAAGAAACTAATGAAGTCTAGATTTCCATGTTCTGTGCTCAAATGTATAATTGTTATGTACTGTAGATAGTAAAAAGAAAGATGGATTTGGGTACTGGTGTTTTTGAGAACTAAATTAGATAAAAATACAGATTTTTTCTTGACAATGGTTCTGTTCAATATCAACTCTTTCATATATGCAGAACATATAACATATGTAGAACAACCTGAATACAGTAAAAGTACATTTACAATCTTGAAAATATAAAGTATTTTAGTAAAAAATGCAGTTTTAACCAATGCTACAGCTAGTTTTGTTTAATACTTGCATATGATTTTTGATTTGATTAGGGTTAGAAATGAATTCCTTTCAAAAGAAGAAAGCTGTTTAATTGGTTTGACAATTTTTTAGCTGTTACTCTAATTAACATTACCACATTAAGAGCTAATTTATTGTTTATAAATTAGGTCAATTTAATCTGCACACATCTACATGTGGAATGAGGTGGTAAATGGCAATTAGCTCCTGAACTGCCTAACAAAGCAGAAAACATGGCAATTGTGGTGCGCTAATACAAATCTGCAGGCAAAGCAAGTTGCATCACTCATAGGGTGTGGCATGCTAAGCTTTTTCTGTTTTACGGTGAACATAACATTGCTATACGTTTTATTTTCCAAAAGAAAGGTGATGAGGCATTAAAAGTGCATCAAATAAGAACTGTTGTGTTTTAAGATTTCTTATTATATATTGTGGTACAGAAAGAGGCCATGTTGTGGAAGTAGGTGGATTTCACACTAACATAAAATGGGTTTAGGAGCTACAGAATTACAGAAAACTTAGTGTACTGAAGATAAAATGAGCCCAGATTTGCAGAGACAGTCAGAATAAGCTTAAAAGGCCATCTAACAGAGGCTGTATGTGGATGTGTGGTCTATTATACGAAGCAGAAGTGAGAAGGAGCTAAAAACTGATCAGAATGATTTTTAACAACTTTAGTTTGTGATGGTAAAAAGTCTAGCTGTCCAGTCTCAGATAAGAATTGCCTTTTGGTTTTGGTTAGCTTGTCATACTGGTGTTTGTGTTACAATAAAGTGCCAGAGAATGAAAGGTATTTTTTTCTACTTTGGGTTTAAAAGATGCTCTGACACAACCTTCTACCATTTAATTATTAATAGGCATTTGTTTAAAGATCCTCATAAGGTACTAAAAGGTTGATTTTTTTAAAGCTTCTAAGTTCAGTGACAAGTCAAAATATAGTATGGGCTACTTCAACTTAAAATGTTTAAAGTATGAAAAGTAGTGCTTCTTTGTCTAGTTTTTTATGTTTTATTGTTTTTAATACTCTCTGCAGCAGTGCAGTGACAGTCTGGGCACACAGTATGATTTAACTGCTAAAATGAAAACTTTATGCATTATTTCAGGTTTGAAGCCAAGAAAAGATGGGAGACAAAAAGCAACATGGGCTACATGTAATATTTTCACATTTCAAGACCAGACGTGGGTTCCTGCCACAGATTAGAAATGCAGCTGTGGAAAACATACATCTCTTTTGTTTTTTTATCGCTCAATTGCAGGATGATTGGCAAATAATAAAGGTTTCCTTAGATTATAAAGTTTCACTTTTTATGGCTCATATTTTGTTTTAAAAAGGAAATTAGGCAAGTGAAATTTTGTCTGAATATCCAATTAGTATTATTTTTTCTATTCTAGTGTTAGTTATTCACTGTGCCATAGATGGGTGGTTTGCAGCCTTCTTGTTATTTGAAACAAATTACGACTCACACTAACCTTCACTTAAATAAATAAAAGCATATCAAAGAACTCCCATGAATATTATTTGGATCAAGGTACCTTCTCAAAATTGCTGACAGACTCTTAGATCATGTATGCCATTAAGTCTTGCTCTGTGTTTTCATAACATACCACGAATGAAGTACTTTTGCACACATATGATAAAAATGGCACAAGTAAAAACAGTACCTTGTGTGCTTATATTGGGGAATCAGAATAATGTTATTCAAATTTTGCTCTTCACAAAACTCTAACTTCCTGTGACTAGAAGCATAAAGGAACTTCTCTTAAGCTTTCCTATTAACATCTTTGCCTGTAATCAACAATTCCAGAAACAATTTTATGATAAATTGCAATAGGTGTCACAAACATATGGTAATAATTTTCAAAATTAATTTTAAAACCGACTGTTAACAGTTTTTAATTTTGGATTGGCAGCAAAACATATGTCTTGGCCTTTTTTATTTCTCATTTCAAAACAATATGCCTCAATGTTACCTCTGTCAAAGGCTGAAAAGCACATTAGATTTAGCCTTTTGTAACATGTTGGCTACAAAACTCCAGTCAAACCATTGCTGACAAACAGATGCAAAACAATCGCTTCAATGTACAAAGAAACGCCTTATGAAACATTAATATTAGCAATCATACTAATGGGATGGCAATGAAAATAAGCATTTGAGTCACTATAGCAATTTCATTAGCATTATTTAAGCTACATTTGCTCAATTAAAAATAAAAACAAAATTGGGAATCACTGTTCTAAATGAAACATCAGAAATTCTTTAGATTTGTATAAAAATTATAAACTGAAATTGATTTTTTTTAAGTGGTTGTCTTCTTCAATATAATTACTATGCAAACATGAATGTGATAGCTATCAACAGTTCTTTAAAAAAGCCTAGAATCAAATTTTTCTCTGAATGTTGTGCTTATATTTTCTTCATTACTAGAAATGCAAAATCTTCACTAAAAATACAAAGAAGCAGCAGCAATGGTAGGTACATACATGTACAATATACTTAAATACAGTGTAGTTTGTTTGATTAATGTGATTTTTTTTATTTTTAGCTTTACGTTTGTCAAAAATCCTGCTCTTTATTTTTCCACAGTGCACAAAGCAAATCTCTGTTATGTTGCTTGTGAACTTAAGGAAAGAGCCATTGTGTATGATTTATATATTTGAATATTGTTGATTAATTTATTGTCTCAAATCAATACAGTAATGTGTGCAACTGATAAAATCTACTAATAAAATAAGTCTTTAGTTTCAATATGGAATCCAACTTCTTGGAAGCATTGTCTAATTGTAGACATTCAAAAATGAAATATCACATTGTATCTTAATGTTGACTTTCACTGTATTAAGCTTTCCTGGAATGCTCAGAAAACTGGAATGCTGCAAGGAATGTACAGAAATAGAAACATTTACATTTTTATGTTATTAATATGGTAATATATTTTAAAAAATAAACGTCCATCCAAGAAAGGGGTTTTAAAGCATTTGATTTGGCTAACTGTTAATTAATTGTAACATTCACTCTAATTTTAATTTGACAAGCAATTTTGATAGGCTGGGAAGTGAACAGAGCAACCCAAATTTAATGTTGTTCATTTCCTTTAGAAAGTTGGGCATCCATCCAGTTCTTGACTTGCACACCGATAATAGGATGTTATATCTGTGACTGTAATCCAAAGTAATTGAACATGTAATTCCCTGGTTGAGTGTGACAGATCTTTACAGAGCAAAATGTGAGCAGCATGAACGAAAAGTTGTCTGTTATTTGTTACAAGACATAAAAGTCACAAAGCCAGAGTGATTTTGGACGTACCGTACCATACAACAGCAATCATGCAGTGGTTTGATGAAAAGTTAAACACGTGTTTTTGCTGCCTGTGGATAAGCATGTTGATTTGGGGGAATTTAAAGGAACAGTTTTTTTCAGTAAGGTAGGTATTTATCTCTCATGTTCCTGTTTTTTCATTGGTGCATAACCCTACTAACCTCCAACCACAGCTGCCATAAATATTTTTTGGATAAAATAAAAGGAGACAGTTTTGCATCTTTGGTTGCTTTATTTTACTGTAACCATTCAACAACAAATACTGTGTATAAAGGAAAAAAAGTAGGAAAACATTTTAAAAAATCATAGACAAATTATGCTTTTTGAGCAATAATTTCAATATGCTGTTTATTTTTTGTGCACTTTTTACAGGAGGGCAATTATATTCTCCAGCAGCTGCTTGGGATATTCAAGTAATCACTACATTAAGGAAAACAGACTGTGCAGATTAAAACCTTCTTTGGACATGTTTATCAATGTGGTGAATGCCATTTACAAACATGTTCACATCACTGTCCAAACAAGATGTTACTGTACAACGTACAGTACATTTTCCTTACCGTATTTACTCCTTAAGTGTCTTCTAACGGTGTTGAAGAGTATCCTGTTTACTACTATACTATGTGTTGGATCGAGCTTTGTGCAGTGGGGATGGGCTTTTACAAATGAGGTCATTTTTTATATGTAGATATGCAATACTTGCAGATTAAATACTGTATATATTTAATTCTTTGCTTTCCATTGTTGTAAAAATATTTTTTATCTCTATTTTAACTGAAATGTCTGGGGGGATGTATTAAACAGGAAAGGACAGGTAGATTCTCACAGCCAAGCATAAGACATTTACTTTGTAATTCCACACAGCTCAAAGAAAATTAAATTATTTGGCTTGGGGTTACAGCTGTTTTGGTGAGTACATTTAGAAGATTAAATCCTTCATCATTATTTTAAAAATGTAATTAACAGTATTTAGGGTTGATTGAACATAGATTGATGGCTTAAAAATTTCTTGCTGGATGAACATTTAAAGTGAAGATGACTTCTAAATAAATCTTTAGAAAGAGTTGTGTGACAAATTCTGGCATGCACAAGAAGTCATCGTTCAGAATATACACTTTCAGATAATGCAGGTAAAGAAACTCTGTTGTTATTGGGGTTTTGGCCCACTGGGTCTGACAGACAAAGTTAAACCATGTGGATGAAGTTGGAGCCCCCTGATAAACAAAGAGGTTGTTGCAGTTGCAGTGGCGCCAAATTTTACACTGGGAAATTGTATTGTAGAGGCCTGTATGAGAGCCGAGAGAATCATGTTATAAAAAAGAAAACACTGGGACACATAAAAAATGATGTATTAAAATCTACATAAGGTGTTTATGCACTGTTAAATGAAAGAGCTTGAACTATGAACACCTACAGTAACTGCTCTCAGTCCTTTATAGATGTGTATGTACAGTATGTTTGTCCTTTATTTACCCACACTTTCGTAGTATTGGCGTGTTAACAGCAAATTTGTAAAATACCAGTGTATAAATTTAAAATAAAGAATAAATCTCTTGTGAATTTATATGGTTGAAGTGTAAAATATCGTTGTCTGTTATATTATTTATAGAGCTAACATGGAAAAAAAAACTCTTGGAAGTATATTTATCTTTAAATAATGGGTTAAAGGAATAAGGGCAGGTCTTCTTGTGTATAAAGCTGGAAAAAAAATAAAAGGAAAAATAAGGCTCAGAAAAAATTAAAATGTAGGGAATTGTTTTCTAAATACCTTTGATTTATGCATTAAATGCCTGCAGCAAAAAATAACAGATAGGTCACAAACAAATAGTAATTGAACATTTTACACCACCATTTCTGACACTAGCAGTTTGGAATATAATGTAATAATTGGCAGCAGTACATACTTTTTAGCTTAGCTCCAGGGCAGTGGATGGGTTCTCAGGACTGCTAGTAACATTGACAGCTTAAAAAACAGCAATGTAAAGCAGACTGTAATCAATTATCGTAAATTAAACCTGCAGTATAACTGTCAAAGGGCCCCTAAATCAGTAGTTATGCAAGTCCATGCAAAAAGAAATAAGTGAATCAAATTTAAGCAAAATATTTTTCCAAAAGAGCACTTTTAGTGCTAGAAAATTATTGTCCAGGTTGCCTAAAGCATTTTGTGGACAAACGTTTTTGACATTTTTGTATTTTTGTATTACTCAGAATCTGTCTGCTTTTAGTATGGTGTATCCATAATGCACACCTTTGAAAACACAGCTCTTTAAATTTTAATTTTATGTATATATTTACAACTGGCAAAATATGTAAAACTTCCCGTTCACAACCATACAGAAATCATCCTTTCCTTGTTGTACATATGCATGTAAGTACAATGAAAAATAATTACTGTATTGTATTTCTTTTCTTTTTCAGCATGGAATTCAGATTTACTTAAGACATCACTTATTTTAAAACTACATGGCTTTATGAGTCAGTGTACAGTGTACAGTACAGTACACAGTAGGCATATTCAAATTTGGCTGAACACATTTAAGACCATTTGTCAAAAGCCAACCAGAAGCTGGAGATTTGTTAAATTCTTAACTGCAGATCATGTATAGCTCTCTAGTGAATTGCAGAAGCTACAGTAAACATTTTGACCTGGAATTCACGTTCTTAAAAAATATCCTCAATGTCATAGCTTTTGACATTGTGACTTTCAAGTTTTTAACAAGTTTAACAAAACTCCAGTTGATTACTTTGAATTAAGATATGGTATTTTTTAAATACCCATCATGCAAAGAACCCTAAACAATGTTGCATTCATTATAATTATTTTGTAAGGAGAAAAGAGTTCCTGCACTGAAGCTGAATGGCAGCCCAAGATCCTGGCACTTAACATATTGGATATGGCTTGCGGTGATAAGAACATATTTCAATAAGGTATCGAGGCGGGTGAAAAAATTGAGTGCAAAAAGTTTCTATCCATCCATCTCCTAACCTCTTGACCCAGTTCAGGATCACAGGGGATCCGAAGCAACGGACGCAAGTGGGGTACACCCTGGTTGGGAGGCTAGTCCATAGCAGAGCACACACACATACAGACACACACACACAAACAACAGAGCCACTTTTCTCAGACGTCAGTGAACTTACCAGTATGTCTTTATGACTGTGCCACTGTGCCACCCAGGAAGTTTCTAGTATAATACAGTTTAGAAAATATACTACTTCAGATAGTTGTATATTTGGGGCCATTATGAACATATCAGATAATGTAGATAGATTAAGTACCTTGTAAACGTAACTGGTGGTCTTTTTTTATTTTAATAGGTCTCTGTAATATCATTCAAAAATGATATCCAAAAAAGCCCTTTGTCTTCAAACATCAGAAGCACCATCTGGAACAGAATTAAGCTCACTAAAGTCTTTCAAATTATTTAAACATATCATATTATTAAGAGAATTACACAGTAGAAAAATGTAACCACATTAGCATGCAAGAACAGCTATTGCTTTAGGATGGGTTGAGGTGGGGGGTGGAACTCGGCACTCCTATAGGTTTCACTGGGGATTGGAAGGGTGTCTCCTGCTACAGAAAATTAACATCTAATAACAGGCAAGGCTTTCTGTTGCACATGACAACTTGTGGTGTGTTGCAACATGCAAAGAGTGGTCATGAAACCCGAGCTCTGTTATGGAGAAGGCTTATAGAGGCCATTTGTCTCTCCTTATTTTCAACGGAAGGGATCCACCGTAATTGGGTTTACCAAGCTAGAAATTAAGTGAGTGCCAATTTGTTTATTGTTCTACACTAGGGGATTTAGTAATGAGCAGATATAGAACAGATGTGATTAAACCTGTCATTTTTATTCAGGGGTCCTTTTGAAACCAAGGGGTTTGGCAACACCTGGGTGACGTGAGTTAGGTAGGAAAGGGAAACTGTCTGACAAGCAGTGATAACCACCATTACTGACCCCTACAGCAGTACTGCATTCTTCAGTAACATGGCAGAACTGTAAGCTTCTCTACCTTACTCCACCCACATTTTATCTTTGGGTGGTTTTTGTTCCTATCTTTAGTTCATTATGCAAGGTAAGTAGGTTTATAAGTAATCATTCCATTCACTAAAATGACTCCATCTGCATCTCACTCCACAGTGGATATCTAGCTATTAAAATGTACAATTGTACTGTATGCGGTGTATTTCCAAGTGCACTCAGAAATGAGGCAAATTTGAAAAAACAATCTTTTAAAAAGAAGACTTGTTTGTAGGGATGCAGGGAGTAACATTTTTGTAAATTTTGCCTCATTTCATACCCTCTTGAGGCATGAACTCAAAAATCCTTGTTTCAAGTCTTGAGATGGATATTGAAACCCCACAATGTTCACCATATAAGACTTTCTGAAGTATCCTGTTAGTCATGATATCTGATATTTTCAATGAAAATACACAGCAAGCCAGCCAAGGGATCTTATTTCTTAACCTGAAAATGGTCTAGTATCAGTGACTAAATTTATATTTTTAAATTTAAAAATACCATCTGTTTCATTGGAAAATCTTGGAAAACCTTCTCTGAGGCCTACGCATAACATCTACTTTGTCGAGAGTGTCATGCCACTTATCTATCTGATCTAGATCTGTTCGTCCCTTTGAACATTATCATCAGCCTGGAGCACCGAAGCAGCAGTTTCAAACATGAAAATCCTCTTTTACTTCTTCTTGGGTGAAACATTAGTTCTGTGGTTATTTACTTCAAGCATAATTTGCCCCTAACCTATTTTATTTTGCTGTAAAATGCGGAAAGAAACTTGTAAATCAGATGTCAAAGCACCTTGGGGTATATGTATATTGTACATAACCATAGAAAAAAGGATAAAAAGCCTTCAATCCAATTAATAGGCTTAAAATACTGCTAGCGTGCTCAAAATTACGTAAAAGAGAGGAATGTGTGCTTACACATTAGGAATTGATGAGAAAAGAGGCTGAAAATGCTTTTATGTTTATTTGTTCCATTTCCTTGGAATGTGCAAATGTCAGAAGTTGGGTTGAAAAGGGTGAAAACTGGTGAAAGATCAAGGTGGGTTTTGATGTAGACAAATACAGAAAGATTCATATAGAAGTTAAAGCAGTATAATGCTGTAATGGAAGGGATGACTGTGGTAGATCTGAAATAGTACTCAAAGGCACAGTCTGCCACCTTTTATATAAACCTTATAGCATCTCTAATGCCCCAACAAAAATCAAGCTTTCTTTTTAATAAACTGTTAATTTAATAAAAGGATCATCAAAACTG